TGACAGAATGGCAACCATCGCATGTCAGTTTTGCAGGTCAGCCCTGCGGCTGTGCCATGATGGGCGGCTGCTGTGGCGGCTGCTGCGTCTTGGGCTGTGGAGGTGCAACACTCCTTGCTATCCACCTTGAACATCCTTGAACATCTTTGAAGCAAAATAAAACAATCACAAAATAACAAAGTTGGTGTTGTGATCTTGGCACTTCTGCAGCAGCTTGACCAACGCTGGTACAGATAGGTCGAAATCTCATCATGTCCGCCAGGCGATGGGAGCTGTGGACTTGGTTCCAATGCTCCAAATCGAACCAACCCGGGAGGCCGCCGGGGGGCGCCAGGGAGGCTATGGATGTTGTGGATATTCTGTTGGGCTGGGAGATGTTTTGAAAGAAATTGCAGGATGGTTTTTGAGATTCATTTGAATCACTGGGTGTTCAGAGACTAAGGTGGCTGTGGCTGTGGAGCTTGTGGTCAGCTGGCTGCGGGTGGTCAGATGGGCGGGTGTGCTGCTTGCTCGGGCCCCGGACCTTGTGGACCCTGCGGTTGCAGCGGCTGCAATCAGATGGGTCAGATGGGCAACGCCATGGCCTGTGGTGGCTGTGGAGCCTGTGGAAGCTGCGGAAGCGGTTGCTGTTCCCGTTGCGGAAGTTGCGGCGGAGGCAACTGTGGAGGCAACTGCGGGCCATCTGGCTGTGGAGGTAGCTGTGGGCCATCTGGCTGTGGTGCTTGCTGCTCCAGCTGCACAGGTGGCTGTGGGGCTTGTAACTCGGGTTGCACAGGCAACAGCTGTGGAGGCTGTGGAGGCTGTGGAGGCTGTGGAGGCTGTGGAGCATGTGGCAACAGCTGCGGAGGCAACTGCCAAGGCTGTGCGGGAAGTTGTCAGGGCTGTGGAGGCAGCTGCCAGGGCTGCGGCAATTGCGGTGGCTGTGGTGGCTGCAACTCTGCTGCATTGATGAGATTGACCCCTCAACTTCACTGAAGGTTTATCAGAATTGGGGAATCCATGCAGTCTACTTGATATACCTGGTATACCCTTGCTCAGCAACTTCACCGCAGCTTCATTTCCCATTCGAATAATTTGAAGACACTTGAAGCACTGCAGCACCAAGGTAACCCATGTGGTTGTATGCCATGTGGGGGCGCTGGCTGTCTCCCATGTGGTCAAGCACCTGGCTGCGCCGCGGGCTGCAATGCCGGCTGCAACGCCGGCTGCGGAGCCGGAGGTTGTATGCCATGCAACTGTGGTGCAGCAGCTGGATGTGATGGTGGGACACCATGCAACAACATGGACTCCACAAACTATCGAGGCAGCGGCTGTGGTGGGTGTTGCCAGGCTGCCATGTGTGGCGGAACACCCTGTGGATGCAGCGACTTGAAAGCATCAGAGGCATTGCCGGTGTTGGCCATGGGCGGATATACATGGAGATGAGACCCGCATAAAGTATTGATATTTTTTGAAACAGGATCTCTCTATGGATGCACGGAAGGCTCAACTGGATTGCCTGAACTCGAAATCGATCAATCCCAAGCATTCACATGAGCCGCTGTTAAGGGAAATTCCGGAAGAAACGTCTGTCGACTTTGGGTTACATGACATTGCAGTGCATTACCTGTTGCCTCCAAACCTCACGTTCGCCCACACCAAAATATCATCCAAACAATATCATATGCTTGTCACCAGAGGATGAATGAAAACACTGGCTATATGCATGTCCAAGGATATGCGGGATCCGATGCGTGCAAACGTGGGGTTTGGTGCTTTTCTACAACCACCAGGGTCAACATAGCTGACATAGCTATTCTTAGTGTGAATCTTTATGAAAACCAAAGGTATATATATATATACATGTATGTACATATATATGTATGTACATATATATGTATGTACATACATATATATATATATGTGTATGTATGTATATATATATATGTATGTACATATATCTATATCTATACCTACATCCTACTATTTTTTCAATGTTCCCAGTGACTCAGGGGTGTCCCGTGAAGCCTTCTGGATGATTTTAGGCAACCTCCCCAGCGGTGGCTGCTGTAGCCCAGCTGGCAGTGGGCAAGCTGCGCCCAGCGGAGACAGTTCTGGTGCTTTGGACGCAACGGCTTGGCTCTACAGTGCTGGCCTCATAGCACAAGGCACGCCAAGTCATGCCGAAAATACCTTGGAAATCTATGAATACACACACACATATATATATATATTCATATATACACTATTATATATATATATATATATTCATATGTATATATATATATATTCATGTGTATATATATATATATATTCACATATATATATATATCATCAAACTATCATCCCGGAAACACTTTTCCAACCTAGCATGTTGTAAACTCAGTGCCATAAACCTACCATGGCTGATTTTTTGCCACCCAGTTATGGTTGAATTCTTTGGGGAGCATTACCCTGGTTGTCTCACAATTGGGAGCCCATACAGAATCCTCAGGAATCATATTCCCTTGGTGGATCCAGTGTACTAATGGCTGGAAGTAAAAAAAAAGCTGAGAAAAAAAGGATTAACTTCGATCCTCAACGCTGGGGTGCTGGGGCGGCTGGTGATGGCTGGAGCTGCCTGCAAAACAGACAAGTCCTATAGGCTAAGATCAGAGCTGTAGGAGACTTGGTTCTTGGTTGGAACGCAATTGAAGGTACAGAGATTTCTCGATTTTGAATTCTGCCGTTTGCTATGCTCTCAAAATCATGATGAATCATTGCCGCCAACAAAGTTGAAAGGCTTGGCTGATTCCTCAAAACGCCAACTGATTCATTCGTCAGTTGGCATCGTATTGCATATGGTCATAGATGGTCATAGTATGTTCGCCGGGCCGAGGGAACTGCGGCGGTTGCAACTTCAATTCGCAGCAACTCCCGTTGGTGGGGCTCCTGCCTATACAGCAAGGTAGGCATGGGACGTAGTTGTCACTGGGTGTTTGAACAGTTCACGCTCTTCAAAAGTGACACTCAACATATATACTTATCAATATGAACAAATATGTATCTAATATAGTTGACCGTTATAAACTACTATTATACAATTAGTATTCACAAACTTATTCACTCATTTGATTCCTGTATTCATTGCCATATATATATATATATGTATATATTATATGTGTGTATATATATATCTATATGTATATATATATATATGTATATATAATATATATATAATTCATTGATTTTGCTATATTTTGCTATGTATCCATGGGAAAATAGGTATGGCCACCACTGACATGGTCACTCCACCTTCTGCTGTTGCAAGGCATGCCCCTTGGGATGCCGATGGCTCTGATCTCCACGGGTGGAGGCCGATCCGTGTCCATGCTCAATGTAGGGCATTCGGCAACATTGTACTGGTAAGTTCGATGCATGCATGCATACAGACAGGCGTACGTACGTACATGGCATACATGCATGCGTGCACAGAACATGGATCGAAACCTGATTCCAAAACGGCTTGAATCCTGATTTAACCTTTCTGCCTGCATGGTTCCCTCCTATGTTGCTGGAGGATTGAATCCACATGTAAGCTTTTCGAGGGCGGTCATCACATGGAAACACTTGAACTCAGATTCAAGTTGCAGATTCTATTGCTTTCTGCTTCTGATTCTTAAATCTTGATGTCATCCGGGATTTCCTTGTGTATGTGGGATTGGCCTTAAATCTGGATGCGAGCTTTGCAATCACTGTCTTTCATTGGGTTGAATTCAGATGAATTCTTCCTTGGAAATGCTTTCTTCAGGATTGAATTTCGATGTTTGCCTTCTTGGAACTACTGTTTGCAGGATTGAAGTATGATTCATTTCTTCCAAAAGCTGCTTTTTGCAGGTTTGAACTTGGATTTAAGATCGTCATGTGCCTGCAGAAAATGCCTCATTTGGGATGATTTACTCCATTCATGGCTGTTCTTATCTCGAGCGCTCACATATCTCAGAGAGATAATGTTGTACCGCCGAAGGGCGGGGAGACAAGTAGATGTGCCTGTTGCTGACAGTGGATCAATTGGAAGATGGGCGGCGCAATGTGGAGGATGTTATGCCAGCATCTCGTCAGCCAAAACCAAAGCCAAGAGTCAACAAAGGCAGGGTGTTCGAAATGGTTGTCTTCGAGTTTCAGCATTTGTGCTATTTGCGAAGAACATCAGCTCTCTAGGTCAGGTCAGGATACTAGCCGAAGCCATATACGCTGACCCGTTTTTTTCCTAGATGTGCTGTTATCCATATGCTTTTTGCATACTGACTTGTTTTTCTAAGACAAGATAAGAAAGTTTTTCTTGATAGACTAGCCTGACCTAAAGGGAAAGCATGGAATTTACCACTGCTATATTTGCACTTGGCTTGTCAGAACAATGCAGGTGGGAACAAGGCGGGAGTGGCAGGAATGGCTCGGAGACAGTCAGCTCAGCGGTGGCTAGGGCAAAGGAAATCATGCATCCGTCCTTGTCCACTTCGACTGACAAGGGATGGCAAACGCTCATTGCCAGAAATTTGAATTGATCAGAAATTTCTGGACAATCCGCCGCCAGGCATTGAGTTGCTCAGGGAGCATTCAGTTGTTGCAGATGACACAGTCTCCATGCTTTTCGCTATTCCTGGAGTAGCAGAGATTCTTGAAAATTGCGAGCTCGCAGGTTGCTTGCTGGATTGGACCTATTAGACAAACCGGGATGGTTTGCTGTTGGGCTGTGTTGGCCCCATTGGCTTGCACATGAGTGACCAGGGACCTTGCATGCGTCTGATACCAGTATACTTTGCGTTCTCTTCAAGTGAAAACGAAAATGCTACGCAGAAACTTTTGAAAATCTATTTGGAGAAAATGAAGATGCTAGGGTTGTCCTGTTCAAGATCTGTTTGCTGACTGCAGTGTCATTCAAGCAGCTTTGGCCCTTCAGAGGGACGAGGGCAAGGGGCTGTTTCTTCATCGGTGTTTGCAGCACGTCAAGACCAACGTATCGCAAGCTGCGGCCAAACGGGATGACATCAGTGGAAAGCCCAGGCTGGCTAACAAAGATCTCTTGCAGCCAAGTATTGATTGGATCACCTTCAGTGCCACTCTTCCCACGGATGCCGAATTTGATTGCTTTTGGAGCAGCGTTCTTTCAAGAATGGGTTCGAAATCTGCTGCAATGGACTTCGGCGAGCCATTTGTGAAGAACGCTGGGGTACAAAAATAGCAATGCAATCACGCAGGCCAAAACCACTTTGAAGCAACGGCTCCACTGATAGTGGATGAGCCCGCTGCCTCACCTGTGCCAAAAACAATCGAACACAAAGTTTGACGGACAAAAAGAATCTTGCTGAAGCAGCTTCTGCAGTCATCCATGAAAAAACGCTTAAACAAACATTCAAATCAGGATTTGACCCTGCACAGGACAATTACAGTCCGTTTGTCATGAACCAAGATTGTACACCTGCAATGTTAGGGACTGAACACCAGCGGCATTGAATTTCGATCCAGCTAATTTCAGAAGCAAGGAGAGTCTGCCCGCAAATGGACGGATTGAATCCTGATTCAATCTCTTCTAAGTCGTGTTTCCAGCTTCACCCTGCATGCATACAGACAGACGTACGCACGTACATACATGCACGCATGCGTACAGACAGACGTATGTACGTACATGCATGCATGCATGCAGGCAGACAGAATTAGGTACGTACATGCATGCATGCATGCATTTTTACAGACAGACGTACGCACGTACATACCTAACTACATGCATACATACATACATGCATACAGACAGACGTCCGTACGTACATACATGCATGCATGCATGCGCACAGACAGACGTCCGTATGTACATACATACATGCATACATGCAAGCAGACAGACGTACGTACATACACACATACACACATACACACATGCATGCATGCATGCATGCATGCATGAATGGATACAAACAGATTTACGTCCGTACATACAGGCATGCATGCATACAGACAGACGTCCGTACATACATGCACGCATGCCTGCCTGCATGCGTGCAAACAGACAGAATGACGTACATACATACATGCATGCATGCATACAGACAGACGTAGGTACGTACATGCATGCATGCATGCAAACAGACAGAATGACGTACATACATACATGCATGCATGCATACAGACAGACGTAGGTACGTACATACATGCATGCATGCAAACAGACGTACGTACATACGTACATGCATACATGCATGCATATATTGATTCTATTGATTTTGTGAATGCACCATCATTTTCTTGGTGGGAATGGAGCAGCAGGACAAGGTGGCTGCTTTCCAGCTGCCTACCTCATGGCCCAGGAGCTGTTGTGGGGATCAGGGGGGCCTTGTTCAAATCACCCGGCAACTTATC